GGTGGGTGTTGAATCCCTGAACTGCCTGAGCATGCCCTTTTTTAAAGAGTGAGGGGAAGAAGGTCTACCAAGGAAAAGTCACTTGTCAGCTGCTTCAGCACAAAGGGCCAGGAAGGACAGAGCAGATCCCCACCTCTGTCATTCCGGTTGTTTTGGAAGTTTACAAGCACAGAATCCACATTGGTCTTCTCCTCCACATACTCCAGTGTTGCAGTCAAACTAGGGACCAGAGGGAAAATGGTCAATGTAATGTTCAGCAAACTCAAAATCCAGAAAGATGCCTACTTGCAGCAGAAGAGATCTTATTAGTTTTTCCTGACCCAAGCCAGGAAATGAAAGTTGCTAAACTCGTTTTGATAGATTTTTTTCTCTGAAGCCAAGGGATTATACACTACTGGACTGACACCATGCCATGGAAGGGGCTTGGGGTGAAGGGGCCACTCTATAAAGACAAACAGCTAGAGAGCACTTCCTTTCAACTATTTATGCATTCCCACTTGTGTTTCTGAATCAGTTTAGCAACCTCCCATGGGCTGTTATCCTTTGAACCCCAGATCCTGGCTCAGCTCACAGGCTTGTTCAGTGGTTTGAATGTATCCAGCTCCTGAATAAGCCCTCACTGGTTAGCATGCCCACTACCTGATTATGACATAAGAGTGAAATCCCCTAACCTCTTTGCTCCCCTCTCCCCCATACAGGCTCAGTCACCTTTCCCGGCTGCCTTGATCCAAGGCCCGGTATGGGATATCTAGGAAGAGTCTGTGGTCACAAAGAAGGCCGTGCCAATGGGCAGAGGTCTGGGGGGTGAGGCGGAAGTGGAAGTCTAACTGCACCGGGTCCTGGTGAAGCAGGGGGTCAGTAGCCAGCACCGTCAGGTTCCCAGCCTAGAAAACGAGTAAAAATGAGAGTAATATTCTCCTATTTCTGTGCTCACCTAACCCTCAAATCATATCTCAGGCCAGTTTGGGTGTGTCTGTGGAAGCAAGGCAGGGGCTGATGGAGAGCCTGGGAAAAGTGGAGCCAAGGTCTTACTCAATATCCCTCAGTCCTGGGACCTAACTCTGTTCCTATCATGGAGTTCTCTTCGATACAAATAATTTGGAATCTGGAGTCAATGGAGTATTACTGCCTGCTGACCTCGCTCAGTGTGCTCTAACGATTCAGAAACGTATTTACATCAGAGAGCTTAAAGCTGGGCCATCTATTTACTGTCTCACTGATAATACTCTTCTACTTTTCTCCATCATATGTTTTCTCTAAATTCTCCCATTTCTTATTTAAAATGCATAGCTCATACCTAGGCATGTTATTGAGATATGATACAAAGGCAAGGGCAGGAGTTCTGGGTTCTAGTCCCAGAACTTAGCATCCAAACAGCTTTATGTCTTAATACAGTCTATCTTTGTTTCCACTTTCTCTTTTCCCATCCTGCTTTTCACCACCAGCCCTAAGACCTTGCCTTAAGATCTCTGGACCAGAATCCTTGTCTATAAAGTAGCTTTTACACATGAGCTCCGAGGTCTCATCTAGCTCTAACTTCTTATGATTTATTTTCCAACTAGCTAATGTCCCTTTGCAAGATATCATTACCGCAAGGGGCTGCCATGTCACAGCACCAACTCCCAGTCCACTTACCGAATACAGTTCTTTAAGCTCGTCTTGATCACCCTGCTCGCTGCTTCTGCCCCTGTGAAGGCCTACTAGGGACTCAGGAGCACTGAAGACAGCAACGGGGTCGGAGTGTCAAGTGCTCCTGTTCCTTATAAGTGATGCTGATTGGGAAAAAGAGGTCCAAATTAGTTTATTTCTGAGTCTGAGATGGGGAAAGACTCTTAACTTCCAGGTACACAGGGTCAGGCTCTGGCACCATCTTCTGTATCTTATGTGAACCAACCCATCTGTTTCCATTTTCCCAAGCCAGCCAGATAGAAAACGTTTATGAAGCTCCATGCAGGCCTTCTACCCTATTTTGCTATTATCATCTTTTGCCACTTGGGAAGTTCTTTCGAATTCTTTTTTCTTTACAGTGTATATAAACAACTACAAGTAGAGATGAAAACAAGTACCTTTTATAACAAGGCAGCATCTTCTCCCGGAGGGTGATCCGGTATTTGTAACGGTAAAGGTAATAGGCGTATGGTGACCAGATCGGGTAGAGGTAGTTCCGTGTTTTTCCCCTCTTGATATAAGAAAGGGAGTAGATAAAGGGGCGCGACCTGTTACGAGGCAGTTTCTTAGTTCAGTGCCTCCCCGAGGCAAAGTGAGGTTCAGGGATGGGTGGCAGAGGTTTAGGCAACTGGTGCCATTGTGACACGGTGAGCACTATGACATGGACAAAGCGTTAGCCCTTACACCGCCTCAGGACTCCTCTCTGCTGCTCCCTACCCCGTCACCCTCTTAGGTAGCCCCAAGGCTCCTGTTCAACTAGTATGCACTTCACAGCTACACCAGAAGTTAAAATACTTTGGCTTCTGTAGTGGTTGGTAAACAGCCCTGGCTGACCACTTGTGCCCACACAATGTGGGCTCCTCTCTGGCATGCGCATGTGCAAACACACACTTCAGCAACTAAAGGGTTGGGGTCTGATACTGCAGGAAGCTTCTAAGGCCCTGATCCAGCATCTGACCTGACTGGTTGGTTCCTGGTTCCTATCAGTTAAATATTTTATCATCCCTACCTTTAATAAGCCAGTGGTGCTACCCATTGTTGAACTTTCTCATTGCCTTATAGGGTAGGAATTGCAAACTAAATGCCTGCAGGGACCTGGACAACTAATGGAAATTAGTGGAGCTGCTGGGCGGGACTGAAGCCAAATGAAAAGCTCACACCCTGGGCTTCCCTGGTGGCGCAGTGGTTGAGAGTCCGCCTGCCGATGCAGGGGACACGGGTTTGTGCCCCGGTCCGGGAGGATCCCACATGCCGCGGAGCGGCTGGGCCCGTGAGCCTGCGCGTCCGGAGCCTGTGCTCCGCAATGGGAGAGGCCACAACAGTGAGAGGCCTGCGTACCGGAAAAAAACAAAACAAAACAAAAAGCTCACACCCTAAAAAAAAGTGACACAATAGCTCCAAACAGCTGCCATGCAGGAATGCAGACTCAGTGGTACCAGATCATATGATTTTTCAACAGAAACTGGAAAGATTGATTTTTGTGATAAATTTCTCAAATTTTAAAAAAATATTGGCTACTAACTTAAAAAATAAAAATTGTTGATTAAAAAAATCAACATGGTGTGTAAAATTTGGTTCTGCGGCCACCAGTTTGAGACTTCTGCATATTCATTTATTCATCCATTTAACAAATATCTATTGAGGGCCTACTATGAGCTTAGGATACACAGTAAACAAAACAAAGATCCCCTGCCCCATGGAACTTCTAACAGTGAAAGAACAAACCTAAACACTAAGCACAAGAAAATGATTTCATATGTTAGATGATAGCTGCTATGGAGGAAAATAGAGTAGAATAAAGAAGGATCAGGAGTGTGAAGGAGGTGGCGCAGTTGCAGTAATAAATAGGGTGATCTAAATAGGCCTCATTGAAAAGGTGACATTTAATCAAAGACCTGAAGGGGGTGAGGGATTTAGGCCAAGCGAGCATCTGAGGGTAAAAGCATTCTGTGTCAAAGCAACAGCCAGTGGAAAAGCCCTAAAGAGAATGTGTCAAATGTTTTCCACAAACAGCCAGGAGTCCACTGTGGGTGGAGTAGTATAAGCTATAGGGAGAGTAGAAAAAGAAGAGAGCTAATGGGGCCAGGTCATTGTAGGGCCTTATAGACCATTGTCTGGCCTTTTTCTTTTACTCTGAGTAAAGGGGGAAGTCATTGCAGGTTTTGGGTAGAAGAGACATGATCTGACCTGTGTTTTTAGAAAGATTCTGACTGTTGTATTGTAAATAAACTGTAGAGCTTTAAACGGTGTTTGTTAGGAGACTATTGCAGTAATCCAGGAGAAAGATAGTGTCTTATTCCAGGGTGGAGCATTGGAGGTGATGGGATGTGGCTGGATTCTGGAAATAGTATAAAGGTAGCACCTACAGGATTTCCTGGCGTAGGAGAGAAGTTGAGTCCAAGAACTGAAAGAATGGAGTTACCATCAACTGAGAGGGGAAAGGCTGCAGGTGAGGCACTATGGGGCAGGGTATAGAGATGGATTTAGTTTGGAGCATGTTAACTTTGAATTGTCCATTAGACATGTAAGGGGAAGATGACAGGCAGTTGGATATTCATGTCTGGAGTTTAGAAGACTAGGGTGAAGACAGAAATTTGAAGTCATTGGCGTATAAATGGTACGTTAAGCCATGAGACTGAATGGGATCACCAAGAGTGTGTACATTGAGAAGAGTAAAGATCCAAAAACTGAGTCCTGGGGGCCCTCTGAGAAGTGGGGAATAAAAGAGAAATCAGCAAAGGAGACTGTGAAGGAAAATAGTGAAGTAGGAAGGAAATAAAAACAAATTGGTGTCCTGGAAGCTAAGAAAGTGTAATTAGGAGGAGGGACTAATGGTCAAAGGCTGTTTATGTGTCAAATAACAGGATGTATAGAGCATCTTTCCATAAATCTCTTCTGCCAAACAGACCCTATTCACTCCATTTATATGGTTTACTCCCCAGTACTGAGACCCTCCACGGAGGGAACCGTCTCCCTTGTGATTTAGAATTCTTTAAACATGAGCCTAAATACTGCAGTGTCACGATTAAGGATTAGACGACTTCCTGGGGCTTGCAAGTTTTCCAGAGGATCCCATCCTTCCACCACTTTTAGGCAGGTTTGAAGTAAGGAAAAATGAGAGCAGCACCCTCTCCCCTCAGCATCCAGCTATCACAGAATGTCAGAATTGGAAGTGCCCTCAGAGAGCTACTAGAGCTCAGTCGAAGCCCCCATCTTAAAGACAAAGTGAAGCCAAGAGGGAAAGGGTGTCTTTCCCGGTGTCAGTGCACCTAACAGTCACTCCACTATGTGTCAGTGGCTATGGGTGTCCCTCCCCCGAAAAGAAATTGGGAGAAGGGAGTAGAGGCATGCTGAATCGTGGAGCATTCATCCCAGATCTCCGGTCTCGAGGCAGCCTAGTCGCAGCCCAATCCGGGCCCGGGCTTCCCCTGGGCTCAGCTCGGACAGAGCAGCGCCGGCTCAGGCGCGCCGCGGGCACCCGGTGGGGGCCTTTCCTGCCGCCGGCGCCGGGGGCCTTCTACGCCTCCATCCGCGCCCGAGAACATGGCGGCGGCTACAGGCAGGTCTCTGCTGCGGGCGGGCACTGAGCGGCTGGTGCGAGGAGGGGTTTGGGAGCTCCTCCGGCCGCGACTTGAAGGGGGCACCTCCGGCTCGGAGCGCGACTTCAGCCTGTCTCACAGTCGGGTGAGGGCCGGGTGTGCGTTCTGGGGCTCCTTGACTGGGGCGCGTTGAGACCTGGTGGGGCCCCGGCCTGCGGGTGGTGGGCTCTCCTTGAGGGGCCGGCGGCCAGAGGAGGAGGCTTCTCCGTGGAGACTCGCTCACCCTCGTTCCCCCGGCCGCCAGGGCACGGTCATTGTGGAGCGCTGGTGGAAGGTGCCGCTAGCGGGAGAGGGCCGGAAGCCGCGCCTGCACCGGCGGCACCGCGTCTACAAGCTGGCGGAGGACACGAAACACCGGCCCAAAGACAACCTGGAGCTCATCCTCACGCAGTCGGTGGAGGGTAAGGCCCAGGCAGAGGTGCTTCCTGTCTCAGGCTGGTCCTGTTCGGCATCAGCTTTTTTCTGCCCTTTTACTAATTTGGGGGAATGACCAGTTCATATTTGAGAAGAGGAAGCCATAAAAAGTACTGTGATGGTGACGTAGGGCTCCTACATAGAAAATCAGAACATGAATGCAGCAGCATCATTAACAGTGTGTGGGGAGAAAGAGACCTGACAGTATGTGCCACAGGTACTGAAATCCTGTGATGGGACAGTGCTTCACTTTGTACAGGGAATATTAAGTTTCTAAATCAGGTCCTAAAGAAATGAATTAGAAATCTCTTAAGTGTTGTCCTAGCGAATACTAATATTTCTTCTAGGAAGAATAAGCACTGTGAGAGAATAAGAGGTCTTTTTTCCTTTGATCATCTCCTTTTTTAGGGACTGCTCGATAATTCTGATCCAGTGTCTCTGTTCTCTGTTGGCAGAACTTGGAGTCCGAGGTGACCTGGTCTCAGTGAAAAAATCTGTAGGCCGTAATCGACTACTTCCTCAAGGACTGGCTGTATATGCATCTCCTGAAAACAGGAAGCTGTTTGAAGAGGAGAAATTGGTGAGCCCGGAAGACGGCATAGGGACTTGGAGGAATTAAAACCTTAAGATTACCTCTAGCAACTTCTTCTAGCCCCTACTTAATTTTCAGATGAAGTAGGGGCTAGAACAGGAATTCAGAAGCCCAGCCTATGCCAAGCATAGCAAGAGTTTGTTATTAGTTACCACGAACTCATTTTTCTTTCATCTGTAACTTTCTTTTCTAGCTGAGACAGGAAGGAAAATTAGAGAAGATCCAGACCAAGGAAGGTGAGACGGTGAGTAGAAACATAGAAAATCTTTATTTATGGGTCACCTACAAAGTCACCAACCTCTTCCTGAAAGACTTCTTGATTTCCTTGAAGTCTCCTGATTTCAAGCACAAGGTAGGGGCAAGGGAAGTGTTGTGGTTACCATAACTGGTATTGAGATATCCTAGGATATCCTGACCTGTTGGGTGAAGTGCTCTAGTTTATTGAGGGAGGCCCCAACCTGGGTACCAGGGGACCCATGGAAAAGTGAGATGAGGACTTTGCCTTCGGGGTTGTTTACAGACAAGTTGGAGAGAAAATAGACACATGAGAAAGTGATAAACTCAAGGCAGTAAATTATGAGTGACATGGACCAAAATGGATTAGGGTGATTGGGAAAGGATTTTTTTCAGATGGGATTGAATTAGGCCTTATGGGATTAGTAGGCTTTGGATAGACCAGGAGGGTGGGAAAGGTATTCTTAAGGGAGAAAAAGTAGATAGTTAAGGCACGTTGTTGTTGTTGTTTAATTTAAAAAAAAGTTTATGCAACTTTTAAAGGTTACACTTCATTTACAGTTATTATAAAATATTGGCTATAGTCTCCATGTCATAGAATACATCCTTGTAGCCTGTCTTACACTCTATATCTGTACATCTGTTTCTTTTTTGTTATATTCACTGGTTTGTTGTATTTTTTAGTTTCCACATATAAGTTATCATACAATATTTGTCTTTCTCTGACTTATTTCACTTAGCATAATGCCCTCCAAGTCCATCCTTGTTGTTGCAGATGGCAAGATTTTGTTCTTCTTTATGGCTTAGTATTCCATTGTGTGCGTATGTGTATGCACATACATATTTTTTTGTGTGTGTGTATATACACATATATACTACACCTTTATCAGTTCATCTGTTGATGGACACTTAGGTTGCTTCCATATCTTGGCAATTGTAAATAATGCGGCTGTGAACATTGGGGTGCACGTATCTTTTCAAATTAGTGTTTTTGGTTTTTTCAGACATATACCCAGGAGTGGAATTGCTAGGTCATATTTTTAGTTTTTTGAGAAATCGCTATACTGTTTTCCACAGTGGCTGCACAAACTTACATTCCCACCAACAGTGTATGAGAGTTCCCTTTCTTCCACATCCTCTCCAACATTTGTTATTTGTGTTCTTTTTGATGATAGCCATTCTGACAGGTGTGAGGTGATATCTCAGTTAAAGCATGTTTTAAAATAGAAAGTAGACCAGTCTAGCTAAAACAGAGGACTTCTATTAGGAAATATATGACTGGAAAGAGGGTTGGGGCATAATTTACAAAACATCTTTAATCCTCAGCTAATGAATTTATACTTTGTTCTGTAAGCAGGGAGGAATTGTTATGGTGTAGGGGTGGGATTGAAGGGCCAGAATATTGTGTTAAAACAGTCTGTGAAAATCATTCCATCCTGAGATACACCAGCAGCCCCCATTGGTGAGCCTAACCTTGGTTTGGGGGGCGGTGTTTAAAAAGTTTTAAAATTTAAAAAAAAATTTTCTTTCTTTCGGCTGTGCCAGGTCTTAGTTGCAGCATGCAGACTTCTTAGTTGCAGTGTGCATGTGGGATCTAGTTCCCCGACCAGGGATTGAACCCGGGCCCCCTGCATTGGGAGCACGGAGTCTTACCCACTGGATCACTAGGGAAGTCCCTGATGAGCCTAACTTTGACATGGCCTGTTTCTCCTTGCTTAGGAATAGCCACGTATAGGCAGCATTTCCTTTCAGAGCATCGCTAAAACGTCTTTCCATAATATCAGCCTTGAGACAATGAGAATTTTTATCTTTCGTATTCATCATCTCACCTGTCTTGGCTATGAGGCAGAAATTGTGCATAGCCTCTCAGACTGTGTGCCTCTTGGCCTCTTGCTAACATGTTTCCTCTCCTTTGAGTACAACTCTAACCTATCTTCTGTGTATAATTCCTCTCAGACAGTGAAATTTCTGAGAAGATGTCACCTGCAGGTAGGGATGAAGAACAATGTCAAATGGGAGCTAAACCCTGAAATAGTTGCCCGCCACTTCCTCAGAAATGTGAGTATTCCCAAACACTGCTGTACCCCTGAGGGTGGAAACTACCCTTGGGAAGAAGAAGCTACCCCAGGATTGATCCCTCTGTTGGGAAAGGGTATGATCATCCAGCTGGAGTTATGGAAAGCATTTTTTTTTTTTAATTGAAGTATAGTTGATTTACAATGTTGTGTTAATTTTCTGCTGTACAGCAAAGTGATTCAGTTATACATATATATACATCCTTTTTCATATTTTTTTATTATGGTTTTTTACAGGATATTGAATATAGTTCCCTGTGCTGTACAGTAGGACTTCGTTTTTTATCCATTCTATACATAATAGTTTGCATCTGCTAATCCCAAACTCCCAATCCATCCCTCCCCCACCTGGCAACCACAAGTCATTTCGCTCCCACACCCGTGTAAACCAATCAAGAACGCTTTCCCTAAGTTGGACAGCCTCATGTAAATCAATGCAACCTGCCCCTTGGCAACCACAAGCCTGTCCTCTATGTTTGTGAGTCTGTTTCTGTTTCATAGATCTTTTTTCTAATATAAATTTATTTATTTATTTATTTATTTTTGGCTGCGTTGGGTCTTCGTTGCTGCACGTAGGCTTTCTCTAGTTGCGGTACACAGGCTTCTGATTGCGGTGGCTTCTCTTGTTGTGGAGCACGGGCTCTAGGCACGCAGGCTTCAGTAGTTGTGGCACACAGGCTCAGCTGTGGCTTATGGGCTCTAGAGTGCAGGCTCAGTAGTTGTGGCGCATGGACTTAGTTGCTCCGTGGCATGTGGGATCTTCCCGCACCAGGGCTCGAACCCATGTCCCCTGCATTGGCAGGTGGGTTCTTAACCACTGTGCCACCAGGGAAGTTCTGTTTCATACATCATTTATGTCATATTTTAGATTCCACATATAAGTGATATCATATGGCATTTGTCTTTTTTTATTTTTTTTGTGGTACGCAGGCCTCTCACTGCTGTGGCCTCTCCCATTGCGGAGCACAGCCTCTGGATGCGCAGGCTTAGTGGCCATGGCTCACGGGCCCAGCCGCTCCGTGGCATGTGGGATCCTCTCAGACCAGGGCATGAACCCACGTCCTCCCCCATCGGCAAGTGGACTCTGAACCACTGCGCCACCAGGGAAGCCCTGGCATTTGTCTCAGTTCACTTAGTATGATAATCTCTAGGTCCATCTGTGTTGTTGCAAATGGCATTATTTCATTCTTTTTTATGGCTGAGTAAGTATTCCATTGTATATACGTACCACATCTTCTTTTTCCATTCATCTGTTGATGGACATTTAGGTTGTTTCGATGTCTAGGCTGTTGTGAATAGATCTGCCGTGAACAGAGAGGTGCATGTATCTTTTTGAATTATAGTTTTGTCCAGATACGTGCCCAGGAGTGGGATTGCTGGATCATACGGTAGCTCTATTTTTAGTTTTTTAAGGAACCTCCATACTGTTTTCCATAGTGGCTGTACCAATTTACATTCCCACCAACAGTGTAGAAAGGTTCCTTTTTCTCCACACCCTCTCCAGCATTTGTTACCTGTAGACTTTTTAATGATGGCCATTCTGACCAGTGTGAGGTGGTAGTTCATTGTACTTTTGATTTGCGTTTCTCTAATAATTAGCGATGATGAGCATCTTTTCATGTGCCTGTCAGCCATTAGTATGTCTCTTTTGAAGAAATGTTTAGGTCTTCTGCCCATTTTTCTGATTAGGTTGTTTTTTTGTTGAGTTGTTTGAGCTGATAGTATATTTTGGAAATTAAGCCCTTGTCAGTAGCTTCATTTGCAAGTATTTTCTCCCAGTCCATAGGTTGTCTTTTCGTTTTGTTTATGGTTTCCTTTGCTGTGCAAAAGCTTGTAAACGGTCTCAATTGTTTACTTTTGCTTTTATTTCTATTGCCTTGGGGTACTGACCTAGGAAAACACTGGTACGATTTATGTCAGGATGTTTTGCCTACGTTCTCTTCTAGGAGTTTTATGTTGTCCTGTCTTACATTTTAAGTCTTTAAGCCATTTTGAGTTTATTTTTGTGTATGGTGTGAGGAAGTGTTCTAACTTCGCTGATTTACATGCGGCTGTCCAACTTAGGGAAAGCATTCTTGATTGGTTTGCAGGGGTGTGGGAGGGAAATAACTAAGGATGGTCACATAGATTCTGAAGACTGATAGGAGAAGATGGTGGGATCATTTATTTTCTCTAGCTAGGGAAAACCTGGGGAAATGTGACTCACTGGAGAATTTTTACTTTTGTGGGTGAAGTGAGTTTGATCTCAAGCCCTGTTTCTCTTTGTGAATCCACCTCCCTTTCTGAGAAATTAGGACTGAGTTATTCTGCCACTATTTATGGAGGTTTGTGCCTTTCCATGGGATCAGCCAGGGTAAACGCCCCGTTTTATTCACCCATGTACAGGAAAATCTAGAGGTTGCCTGGAGTGGCAACCATGTAAACAGAGTTCCCTTTGGCTGTGATTGATTTTTTTTGCAGCTTGGTGTTGTGGTTGCCCCACATGCATTAAAGTTACCAGAAGAGCCTATCACACAGAGGGGCGAGTACTGGTGTGAGGTGACGGTGAGTGTTTCACATCCTGTCTCCTTTTTCTCACTGGGTAGAAAGCTGGGATTGGATGGTGTTAGTTTGTATCTGCCCGCTGATCTGAAGATTCCTGTTGTTTTGTGTACAGGTAAATGGGCTTGACACTGTGAGGGTACCTATGTCTGTGGTGAACTTTGAGAGGCCCAAGACCAAAAGATATAAGTACTGGTTAGCCCAGCAAGCTGCCAGCTCCACAGGCTCCCAGACCATCTGAACCTGTTCTACCTCGAAAGCAGCAAAGCAGAATCAGAGGAGAGGTGGAGCGAAGATGATGGGCCAGCACCGTGGTGCTGACCCAGCTCTGACCAGCTCTGACCAAACACGGAATTTTAGAAAGCATATGGAGACAGCGACAGCATACTAGACTGAATATACGTTGAATTGTCCATATTTGCCATCTTCAGCGGTTATCACATCTAGCGTTATTGGGGCAGGCCTACTCCAGAAGTACCAGGCTGTAGATTTGGTAAGATAAATATTAATAATAGACCAAAATGGTCTAGATCTGTTTAGCCTCGTCCTACATCGGAATTCATTGGAATAAATGATAGCGATAGCTCATTCTCATCATCCAAACTAAATGTTTGTATCTGAAAAAAAAATAAAGAGGTTGTGTTCTTTTTAGGTGTTGTTTACTGGCCTGAGTAGCCTGGGGACAGGACCTCTATGTGGGATGTCCTCTTGAGCCACTGGGGTTTACTGCTAAAAAGGAAAAAAGAGAATACACTTGCAGGCTACAGCCCACAGTTGCTGTGGACAAATTACTCAACAAGTTGATACGCCTTATGGTCTTAAAACTTATTAGGTACGCTAATACAGCCCTCAGTACAAATAAGCACAGTGGAGTCTGAATAAGGCCTAAGGGAAATTGCCGGAGAAAATGACGCTGGGATGAAAGAAGTTTAAAAAGGGAACTTCCGTTTTATTTCTTCAGCCACTTCCTGAAATTTTGAAAAAGAAAATACCTTGGTTTCCAGACCAAGGTTAAGATATGGGGCTAGTTCGTAGGTAATTACGGAATGGGAGATGAGGCAAGTAGATAGTTCTGTATAAGTTCAAGGTCCATTCCTGGAAAAAAGACCAACTGTTGACAAGTGGATTGTGCCAGAGTCACTCAAATAAATATGAGATTTTGCAGTTTAGGAAGGATAAAGACGAGACCATTGACTCTACTGCTACCCTTACCAGAGAAATTGGTTTCTATCAATCATCCTATTTGCGCTCACCTGCCTTGCCAAGCCAACTAACTACTTTCATCCACAGAAAGCCATCCCTGCTATTGAGCGTTCTGTCGTCAGTAGTTGCACTAATATCTGTATCCAGCCTCACGCTTGCCAGAACTCTGTGACAGGTCGAGCACTAGTATTGTTTGCAGTTGCCATTTGATTGTCAGATTTGCCATCAATCCCTGCGGTCCTTGAAATGGAAAGCTCACTTAACACTGCATCTTTCCACACCACCACCACCATGATGACACTCTCTGAAACTGAGCACAGGAGCAACATTCCACATAGCGAATCTCAAAAAGTGTTCAGATACTTGTCATGAGCTGAGTTCCTGGTAAAACAGACTGAGTTGGAGATTTAGGTGCAGGAAGTTTACTGGGGTGTCCTCTAGATTAACACCTGTTGGGGCATGAAGAAAGCAAAATTCGGTAGAGGGAGAAGTTGAGCTGACGCAGTCTCAACAAAGGCCTTAGTCCCCCAGGGAGCTCAAGCTAGGGTGGCTTGAGCCATCTAGGTGTGTACCATGTTGAGGCAAGTGGCCAGACCTATAGAACCCCATGCTGACCAGGAAAGGGTCTTGGGTGAGGTGACTGATTTCAGGCACAGGCAGTACCCAGAGGGGAACTCAGATGAGAGCTGTGCGCATTCTCAGCAGCTTGGGAAGTGAGGGCTTCGGTGCTGAAGGGAGCAATCTGGGCAGCACACCATAGTCTCCACTACAGTCCACTTCTTGTGCTGTCAGGTCAGTTTGTTCATTAGTTCTAAAACGATCCCTTCAGAATCCTGATGGGCTTCCTTTCCCGGGAAAACTTAGAGGAAGATCTGGGACAGACTACAGCCCCTGCTGCTGTAGCTTAAGTCTACAACTGGTCCTTACCTCCTACTACCCATTCTAGATTCTCCTACCCCCCCCCCCCAATTTATACTTCTGTTAGTCCACATGGGTTACCTGATGAAGTCCTCAGAGCCCAGAGTTGGGATAGGAGGTATAGTTTTCCCCAGTTGGGTCACTGAGAGTGATGATAATGGAGGGCTGCTCCTACATCCAGCCCGTTTCCCAGACCCATATATTTCACTTGGGGATAGCACTCTAGGTTGTCTGTTGATCCAGGGTATATACTGCATCCTGGAGGACAGTGTCTCATCTTTACAGGGTGTCATCTCCAAGCTGGTGTCTCAGCTGTGCCTTTAACAAGAAGTTCCATTATTGTATCAGGTGGGTTGCTTCTGGATGGTGTGGTATATGACCATGGATCCTATGATCATGTACCCAGTGCTGTACCTCCTTGCTATAACATGGTCTCTTGTTCCAGTGCACTGTTATGCAAGATCTCATGCCAATGGATCAAATATTCTGTAAGCCCTTGGATGATGGTGGCAGGAAAGGTAAACCCATACCCATAATACACATCAATTTAGGTCAAGATGGAACAATGCCCCTTCCAGGGTAGCAGGGAGTCAATGTAATCAACTTACCACCAAGTGGCTGGATGGTTTCCTTGAAGAATGGTGACATGTCAGGGACTTAGTGTTGGTGTCTGTTGCTGATGAGTTGGACAGTCAGTCACAGTAGCTGTAGCTAGATCAGCCTTGGTGAGGCCATGATGTTGGGCCCATGCATAGCTTCCATCATGGCTTCTCCATTCACAGGCCCATTTTGCCATCATTGGGATGCCAATGACCGAGACTGGCTAACATCAACTGGCTAAGTCATTCAATCTACTTCTACTTGGTTGTTTGGTGACTTTTCTGTGGTGGATGTTCTCTGGTGGGAATTAACATGCAGTACAAAGATCATCATACACTATACCCATTCCCAAGTAAACTACATACCTTTTCCTCAGGCTTCCCTGTCTTCAGCCTTAAATTTTTCTTCTAGGCTCCTGATCCAGCCAAGCCATTCGCCATTGTCTGAGTCTATGTTCTTTCCTCAGGCAGGTGTACTGCCTGAAGCCCTGCCCATTGGGAAGATTTCCCCTCACTGTCTTTCAAGCCTACCCCAAAGTGGGGCCATAGTACATCCACAGTATTTTCAGCTTACTTCCACCTACAGAGACAACCCATATATTAGCCGAGCCCAGCCTTTTGTCATATGGTCATGAGGGATTCCTCCACTCCATGTGGCTATAGATGTGAACTGAAAAAGCAGCAGCAGTGCAATAGTGGTGGGTAACAGGGGTCTGGCCACCTGCTTATGCAGCTTACTTTGACCTTCCAGCCCAGCTTATGCCCAGTGCTATGCATATCACTTTCATCTTATGAAGCGCTGCTGATGGACCCATCCAATCTTATGACTTGGGTCTGACAGAACCCAGGTCATAACAGGCATTTTTGGCTACATGATCACTTGAAGCACTTTGTTTCAACTAGGACTCAGTAGCACAACAGGAGCTATCTTTTCAAAGGTATATAATACCCTTTCAGAAGGCATGGCCTTGCTCAAGCACGGTAGGGGTCTATGTGTGACTTGCTGTTGCGGCTTGCTGTAAACAGCATGTGGCATCTTTTCCCATCACTGACGCCTTTAATAGGGTGTCTTGTGGACCAAGCAACAGGAACATTTGCACCACGGTCTGGACCTGCTGCAGAGTCCTCCTGCTCTAGGCCTCACTATCTTTTGTGGCACCCAATATATGAGTCAGAGCAGTATTCCCAAGTGGGGAATAAGCTATCTGTAGACCTTGAAGATGTTACCCAGGCACTGTGCCCCCTCTTAGTGGCGAGATGTGTGAGATATAAAATTTCTCCTTTACTTTGGAGGAAATGTCCTAGCATTCTCCAAACTACTGAATCTCTAAAAACTTCCCTGAACATTTGCAGGGTTTATGTACCACCACTTGAGAATGTTTATCCTATCAAGGCCTCCAGTGGACTTGCTATTTCTTGCTCATCCTGTACAATTACCATGATGTCATCAATAGAGTAATGTGGTATTCTGTGGAACGTCCAGATGGTCCAAGTCTCTTCAGATTATATTACGACAGACGTGGGAGCGTTTACATGTTTCAGGTGCAAGACTGTAAATTGTATTTTATTGCTCATCTCAATAGTGAAAGCAAACTTTGCTCCTCGTTTCTTATAGAGATGGAAAAGAATATATTGCTCAGATTAACGGTCACCTACTGCCTACCTGAGGCTGTTAATCTGCTCCAGCAAAGAAACCACATTTGGCACGGCAGATAAAATTGAAATTACTTGACTGAGATTACCATAATCCACTGTCATTCTCCAGGAACTGTCTGGTTTTAGCAGAGGCCAGACTGGTGAACTAAATGGCATTATGGTGGGGACCACCATCCCCGCATCCTTTAGGTCTTCAAGAGGGGCACTAATGGGATATTTTTTAATTCATTATTTTAGCCTGAGATGGTGGAGGCAATTTCAGGAACTTCATATGCTGGCCTTTCTCACTATGATAGCTCTTAACCTGTCATGGTTAATGTAGGTCTACCAACTATTAACTATGTCCATCTCAATTGTCCAATTAAGGACAGGTGAAATGACCACTAGGTGGATCTGTGAACACAGTAGACTTACTAAGAGCCAGACCTGGGCCTGGAATACATTTGTTACCTAGCCCCATACACTGCCACTCTTAACAGGGGGCCATGATGATGTTTCAGATACTTGGTTTCAAAGTCAAATAGGACCCTGTATCCAACAGTCTTGAAATAGTTGGATATTCCTCTTTCTCCAAAGTGTATTATGCAAATAAATGGTCATAAGTCCCTACAGGATAGGACTGGGGGAATTATTACCTTATACTCTTGACATGATGTTTCATGGTCCTTTCTCCTGGGGACCTAACATCTTTCATTAGCTGTTTCCAGCTGAAAAACTGACTCAGAAAGATTTCCACTTCTACCCATAAAGGAATTACCACTACCTAAATCGCTCTCCCACTATAAATAACTACAAAGCCAGAAAAAAATTTAAAAAGAAATGTTTATAGGGAATTGCCTGTCTGTCCAGTGGTTAGGACAACACGCTTTCACTGCTGTGGGCCAAGGTTCGATCCCTGGTCGGGGAACTAAGATCCCGCAGGCTGCATGGTGCAGCCAAAAAAAAAAAAAAAAAGAAATGTTTATAGGTATTGGAAAGCAGGTAGGGCAGAACATTGTTAACTGAGAAAAAGGAAACAAATGAGGTGAGCCCTGAGTTTACAGCCTAGAGGTAGTTTCGTGCACTGTACTGTTGTGAGCAGTGCAGAAGGGGGAACCCAAGTAAAGCCAGCAGTCTCAGTGAGTGGAGAAGACAGAGATTAGAGTTGATGGAGGATAAGTTGGCGAGAAATTGAGAAGCAGAACACTGTAGATGAGGGAATGATACAGAGAGCTTTGAAGATCTGCGGCGGGGTCCCCTCAAATCTTTGTCTGAATACTGATCTGTGCATGCATC